AATCTTAAAACATATTTGAAGGCCAATAATAACGATGATTGTTAATCAACGAAAAAAAAAATGGAAAATAGATTATAAGAAAAAAATTTTTTTTTATTACGTGGGGAATATCAATACGCCATAATCTTTAATCTGCTATAAATACTTTATTCACGGCGTAATACGGTTTTTTACAATCACCATTGAATAAATAACAGAGTTACATAGAAAACTGAGGATATTCCTATTTAGGAAAAGTATAGATAGTAATATTTGGATGCGTTAAAAAAAAAATCAGTAGAAGGGTCACCTTATTGCGATTTTTGTTTTCAATTTAATGAATTACCTGTATCACTTATCGTTGTGAACTAGTTAGCGATATTTTTAATTGGATAAACGTTTTATGTTCCATCTCATTCTCTCTCGCTCTCTCTCTCTCTCTCTCTCTCTCTCTCTCTCTCTCTGTCTCTCTTTCTCATTTGATCGTCTGTAAATTTTCCACAATATTATTTTATTATATATTTTATATATATCATACTATAATAATCTTTCATTCGATGGCAAAAATTTAAGATTTATAATTTTTATGATGTAGCCAATTATGTTTCGAACACAAATATATTTTCGTAATAACCATTTTATTTTTTTAAATGAGTGAAAGAAACATAAATGTATCGAAGGCACATTATTTTAGCGTTAATTAAAAAAATATGTAATAACTGCATTATGATTCAAATGAAAAATATTTAAGATTTGTGAAAAATCTAGATCTATATTGTAATTTTTAATATAAAAAATATATTACGAAGTAGGAGTTTGATAAGTATTATATATAAATATGTTTGTGTGTGTGTGTGTGTGTGTGCGCGCGCGCGCGCGCATGCATATATGTATATCATCGCAACTAATAAAAAATGTTATAACTAAGAAAATTATTATGTACATATGTAATATTGTATTAATGAATTATTAATGTTACCCTTTATTAACGTTAATGAAGAATATTTTATATCAATTTATGTCCTAAGTATGAAAATAATAAAACAAGATAATATATAGATGGAAAAAATAACTATAATTTAATAAATATAATTATGAATAAAGAATATATAATTTCTTAAGATAGCATATATATCATAAAAATGTCAAAAGTGACTGAGAATGAATGTTTGGGAAAATTAATTTTGTATATTATAAACATTATATACTGAATAATTGAATTGAAATATATAAAATCTATAAATATTATAAATATATTCAATAAAACATAAGTCATTTTCCAACGAAAATTCTAAAATACTAAAATCGCTCAAAGACGATAAAACTAATGTTGACATTTTAAATGAGGACAGAATGAATATTTCAAGATGTTTATTTTATTTCCATTACAAAATCTTACATAGAGTCGGGTGAATTTTTATTTTTTCCTGAGTTGTGGCTCATGATTTTCTTGCTCACAAATTCATCAGCAAAGTCAGATAAATGTAAAAAGGAATCGAAGGATTTTGTGTTATACAAAGCTGCATAAAAATGTGATTAGATATAGAATTATATGTAATTTGGCTCTTTATGTATCTATAAAT